GCTAAGACTCCCTTAACCCCTTCTCTCACTGTATTGCTGCAGGGATCTCTAGTCAGTTTAGTAGAAGCAGAATGTAGGAGCTGAACATCCGGCCCTTTCTGTTTGGGTTTGTTATATTATAGCTGACTTGTAGCCTGTATTCTTGTATAGGCTATATTAGAAGTCGCTTAAGATTTGAAGTAGACCTTACAGCAAGTGATCTTGGGTATAGTTTTCATAACAGATTAGGGGGCTATGTTCCAAATTCTCATCACAAATCTTTAACATGTCCATGGCTGTTTTCTTGCTTTTTAGGACAAAGCTGGAGTTTCTGTACTTGTCATACTTTTTATCATTGTAGAATAACATGCTTGGAAAACCTTTTTATTTTATTATGACATCTGAATATATATAGTTGTGTGATTACTTATAATCTTAAAAGAAGTATGTTGAATATAGTATGCTAGTAAACATTTTAATTACAGTTTCATTTTTTTAGGCAAGAATTTGTTAGCAATTTTTTTTTGTACCTGAGAAAATGTACACACCATATTTTAGAATACAAGCTATTCAACAGAATTCTTGCTGACCGAGTTTCCAGTAGCTTTCATTCCTGTGTTGAAGTTTTTGCCTTTAGCTAGAGAGAGAGAGATATATATACACATGCATATACACAAAGTTGATTTGTAGATGGCTGCAGAGTAGTTATCTAATCCATGAGGATTAGAGTTTGTGAAGAACTATTTAAATATTAATTTATGACCTTTTTGCAAAGGGTACTGCCCGCAGAAAGAAGAAGGTTGTCCACAGAACAGCTACAGCAGATGACAAGAAACTTCAGTTTTCTTTAAAGAAACTGGGCGTCAACAATATTTCTGGAATTGAAGAGGTAATTCCTTCAAAGGGAAAAATGCTTTTCTATATAAAAATATAAAATGTATCAAACTTAATTTCCTGGTAAGTAACATCTTAAACTTGTCTGTAAATTATCAATAGGTCTTTATTGAGCTTTAGGATCTTCAGCTAGTTTCCTGTTAAACTGAAAAATCACACTAAACTGCTTGAAATACTGGATTTTTTTTCTTGCAGGTAAATATGTTTACCAACCAAGGAACAGTCATTTACTTCAATAACCCTAAAGTTCAGGCATCTCTGGCTGCTAACACTTTCACTATCACTGGCCATGCTGAAACAAAGCAGCTGACAGAAATGCTTCCTAGCATCTTAAATCAGCTCGGAGCTGATAGTTTGACCAGCCTGAGGAGATTAGCAGAAGCCCTACCCAAGCAATGTAAGTTGAAATTTGAATGCATTTCATGCTGGCAGCTGACATGTGGCTTATTTGTATAGCTGCAGTGAAATTCAGTGTACTCTTTACTGTCTGCAAGCATGTTATAAAATGCTTATAAAGAAGTGGAACTCTTGGATCTTATTTATAGCTCAAATCCAACAATGACTATAACAGAATAAAGCAGAGGCACCTGTCTTTCAGCATATCTTGCAGCTGGTCTAGGGCTAGAAAGTTGTAGCCAGGCTTATTTCATGGTAATTTACTTCGTGGTGTAGCTATCATATTTTGATGTACCTAGTTCATTAAAGCTAGGTAGAGTTACTCTGGGAGAGATAAGTTTTTAAAGATCCACTTTGAGTATGTCTGTTTTGACACTTTCAATGGAAACATAAACAATGGGGAGAGGGACTTGAGCGCAGACATCTTGCTACTGCTTTGCTCCCTTGCAGGTGTGGTGGAAATATTTCTTTTTGCATGGGCTTTTTGGTAGCTAAGAGGGAATTATACAGTATTTGTAAGGAAATATGTTATAATTTCTCTGTGTGTAGAACAGCGTAGAGAACAGGACTGGCATGATCATTAAGCTAGATACATCAACTTCCTATTCCATCCTTAAATTAGTAAAAGAACCTGAACACTTGTTCTCCCTAAAACTGTGGGAAAAGTAGAGGAGGGACTTAAGTATGTGGTGTTTGGAAAAGGTGCTGCTGCTACAGGGTGAGAATTGGGAGTGAAAGACAGGCTTGTTGGCACTGGGAACATTATTCATGCCCTGCATGTAGGGTCTTCCTACTTCTGGTAGTTATGAACTTGATTGTTACGTGTGTTTCTGTGCTTTGCTGCCAGCAAAGATAGCCCCTATTTTCATTCCTAAAGCTGATGATGCTTCCCTTCTGTCAACTTCCCACTGAAAAAAATTCTGCTAGAAGTAACCTTCAGGAGGTGAGGTAAACTGCTTCTTTCCCCATGGAGCTCAAGTCATCCCTTCCTAGTGTCACCTGTGTGGCTTCCTTGTGGTAGTAGTGGGGCTTGAAAGAAAGAAAACTTGAAGGATTTAAAATGATCCCTTAAGATCTCTTTTCTTATAACAAGGTGAGTATATTCTGGATAAGCTAAATTGTGCAGTTTTGATATTAGGGAAACTTGTTTAAAGTGCTTGCTTTGTATGACCTAGTAAATGGCTATTTCTTTCCACTTTGGGTGGATGCCAGAGTAGTTGCACAAACCTTTCCATTCAGCATTGTCTGCTAGATTTGGAAGTCTGGCATCAGAGTGAAGCGTCTGTGATGACTGCATTTGCAGGTGCTAAAGTAAACTTAGTCTGGTCTTGGGGATGAGAGAGAATGCAGACAATTTATGAGGAAATAACATGGTTCACTTTTAAAATGTTGTATTTGTCACTAAGATGCACTCAAGCTGGAACAGCTTTCTGCTGTTAAACAAACAAAAAACCAACAAAAGGAGGGTTAGCGGTGACCTTGTCCCAAGCCATTTCAGAACAAAGTTTATTCATTAATCTATTTCCATTCTCTAGAAATCAGGGTACAGCAATTTCATAAGTCTAGTATAAACCCATCTCTTTCACAGAATCACTAGGTTGGAAAGGACCTTCAAGATCATCAAGTCCAACCATTAATCCAGCGCCACCATGTCCCCTAAACCGTGTCCTGAAGCACCACATCCACACATTTTTTGAACACTTCCAGAGATGGCGACTCCACCACCTCCCTGGGCAGCCTGTTCCAATGCCTGACCACCCTCTCGGTGAAGAAATTTTTCCTAATATCCAATCTAAACCTCCCCTGGCGCAACTTGAGGCCATTTCCTCTCGTCCTATCGCTGGTTACTTGGGAGAAGAGACCAGCGCCCTCGTCGCCACAACCCCCTTTCAGGTAGTTGTAGAGAGCGATAAGGTCTCCCCTCAGCCTCCTCTTCTCCAGACTGAACAACCCCAGTTCCCTCAGCCGCTCCTCAGAAGACTTGTGCTCCAGACCCCTCACCAGCTTCGTTGCCCTTCTCTGGACACGCTCCAGCACCTCAATGTCCTTCTTGTAGTGAGGGGCCCAAAAGTGAACACAGGATTCAAGGTGCGGCCTCACCAGTGCCGAGTACAGGGGCACGATCACTTCCCTACTCATGCTTTTCTTGAAAACTGAGAAGAATTGATGGGTGGACTGTTGGGTGGATGA